GCTCATGGGTTAGGAAAAATACATCGGAATCCAACGCGTTTGTGCAGCTCGCCGTAACTTACATAGACGGATATTATAATCAAGCTGCTATTAGCTCGACTAGCTGCTATTTAAAAATGGCGGTCACAAGTTTCTATTCGTCTTGTTGGTCACGGTAACCCCGCCCCCAGCCCCTGACGCAAGCGGTTCTTACTTGGCTCTGTTCTAGACCAGCAATGAATTGGTGCTACTTAAGAACCACTTTTCCTGGTTCGGAGCTGGTGCTTTGCGTGTGGAAAAACAAAGAACCGAATTGAAACTAGGCTCTGGCTCCGAACCAGCACCAGCTCTGCCTTGGTGGAAAAGGGGTAAAAGTGAACTTGAAGAAAGCACAGCTAGCTTTGCCTGAAGTGACTTATCTTGGACAGATTGTTGGGGTGCATGGCAGAAGCATCACGCCTGAACGAGTTAAAGCTATCATTGAACTTCCAAAGCCACACACTGTCACTGGTCTAAGGCAAGTAATGGGTCTTTTGAATTACTGCCACCAGTATGTCTGTGAATACACTGAACTTTCTAAACCACTCACAGAGGCACTGAAAGGAGGAAAACCTGGAGCAGATCTGATCGAGTGGACCGAGGAGATGGAGTAGGCTTTTGTGAGTATCAAAGAAACTCTTGCTTCCTCCCCAGCACTGCTACATGCTGATGCAACCAGACCGTTCCATCTGTGGACCTGGGTTGGAAACAGATCCTACTCTGCTGCCCTGGGTCAAAAGGTTCCAGGAAGAAGTTCGTATGGAATGGTAGGCTACTATTCTACTCCTATTCCTGTTTCCATGGCAGGACAACATCCATGTCTGCTGATATGTGACTGTGCCGAGTGGGCAGTGAAAACCACAGAGAACATTGTGACACATCAAAAGGTGATTCTGCACACCAGACACCAGATTTTGAAACTGCTAACAAACACTCGTTTAGGATCTATTTCTAACCAAAGAAGAGCTAAATGGGAAGCCACTCTTTTGAGTAAAAATGTGGAGATACAAATTGACATTGAGACTGCTATAAACCCTGCCTCCTTGCTTCCAGACGAAGGAACTGTCCATAACTGCGCACGGCTGATTGACACAGACAGCCAAAGCCCTCTACAGTCTGAGCCCCCTTCGCAACTGCAAAAATTCTGTTGAATGAAGTTTTCCCCAGATGGGGTTTACCATTGCACATTGACTCAGATCAGGGCACACATTTCACGGGGAAGGTAATGAAAAATGTGATGAAATTGATGGGAGTGAAACAACACTTCCACATACCGTTTCGTCCTCAGTCTAGTGGCTCTGTCGAACGTTCTAATCGGACGAACAAAACTTCATTGAGAAAGAGATTGTTGGAGTGGGGGAAGGGATGGCACTCTGCTATCCCAACCATTCTTTTAAGTATGAGAGCCAGCCCGAACAAAACTACTCAGATCAGTCCCTTTGAGATAATGACAGGTTAATTCACTGTGTGAATTTTAGCTCCATGAGTTGGATTCCAGAGAGCATAGCCCATGAAAACCACACTGCCTGCTCCAAATGGATGAATATGGCTAATAGTTATTTGTTGAAACCCATGAAGAATGAGAATAGAGCAGGGCGGAAGAAGCGTCAGACCGCAGCATTAGGGGACTCCCACATGATTCTAGGAGGGAAACCAGTGAAACTTCCCCTTTATCCTAGCGCACCTGACCCTCGACACATAATGTCATATTACCTGCCCAAAGCTAAAGCTGAATTAGGTTCCAACCAGGTTGTCAAAGACGTGGTCCAAAGTTACATACATAGCAACATCGTTGGGAGAGAAGAACCAGGTTCAGACTTGTATCAACAGATCCTGAAGGATAAGGATTCAATGAGATGGAAAGTGTTAGTTCCCACGAGGGTTCACATGGTCCGATGGGACGTGGACAGGTCTTATGGTGCTGTTTGTGACCGATTCGGACGAATCGATAAGACTGATAAAAAGAATTTCGACCTTAATGGCAGTAAAAATGGTTTGCCTTTTGTCAATGCTTTTTCTCTCTCGTGGCCCAGGTATACTAGGTTTGATGATCCGTGGAAGGGGACAGTACAGGTGGAACATTGTTTAGGTGAAAACATTCAACAATGGTTTGTTAAAACCTTTCCTCCAGGTGATGTTAAGAAATGTAAAACGATGTCGGAGAAACTCACAGGTGTAAAGGTGATGGAAGTGCCTATGGAAGTATGTAATTCCTCTTTTGTTAAGACAGGCTACACTTGGACTAATTTGTATGACGTGTTGCATCAGTACGAGCTCGCTAGGAGTATTGCTAATAAAACTGCTCTTAAAATGGACCAATTGCATGATTATTTAGAAGGAAAATGTTACAGCCCTACCTCCATGGCTTATAATGTAACTGCCTGGATGCACCTTCATGTGCTTAAATTGACTATTGAATTGATGTATACTAGAATGAAGACTCGTCTGGTACCGGTGAAATATGAGGAGTTATTGTGGGATAATTATCAATCATTCCAGGTGAGGATGTGGCCTCAGTTAAAGGATGTAGCCATAGGGGATGAGTGGTTTGATAGGGAAAAACAATTTCGGCAGTTTTTGAGTCCAATTCAGTTGCATGACGAGTATAACATTTCTCCCAATAACTGTGTTAGACATAGGTGAACGCATCCCTTGGGTCCCACGTGGCGTCCAGTGGATCAGAGTCAAGGTGGTAATGGAGCGGAGGGTTCCCTTTGTGTTACTGAATTGAAGCAAGAAACTGAATATTTTCCCCAGGTAAAGGGACAGGAAGCTCAGCAGAAATACATTACAGCTTTCCTTGAGCAAGTAAAGACGACTGATCCATTTGCAGGTTATGAGTATTTGAATTCTGCCTGGTTTAAGTCCAAGGGAACTTCTCTTATGTCGGACTCTGAAGCACCATCTGCTATTGCTGTGGCTTTTGTTTTGGCTTTTTCGGTTGGTGCTATATTCACAGATATGGCAGAAACTGTAGAAGAATATGTGGAAGAAGCTTGGGATGATTTTGTGACAGCATCGGAGGATATAGTCATGGGATTTGTGCACTACGCGCTGTATGCTGTTGGAGCCCTTGTAGGGGTGTTGTTCTTCTGTCTGTGAATTTGGTTGTGTGTCCGTTTTTGTTTCTCCTATCTGTGCAGGACTGCATGCAGAAATCTGAATCCTGCTGAGGAGGAAAAAAGACTGCTGATGCTCACGACCCACCTGAGGGACAAATTGGATCAAAACAACATTGAAGCCCTGATGTGAGTGGAAGGTGGGAGAGCCTCTTAACGGGGACTGGACTTTTTAGTATCCAGCATGTCCGTGACGAGGTGAAGAGACAAGTGTGACCCGTCAGGGAAGCATGCGTCACCACTCCCCCTCTCCGTAGTGGCCTCACTTGATAGACCAGACGTGGCGGTATTGGACCACACATCGGTCTAAAACGGGGGACAGAAGGGTTGGGGTCAGAATCCCTTGCCTCTTCTATTCAACTATATGTATGTCCTTTTTTATGATTACATTATTACTATAATAAGCACTAATCAAGTTATATAATCATTCCTATATGCAATAAGTGATTCACATATAGTTTTATTCATACTTTTGTTGAATGCATATCTTTCCTGAATGTTGGTTGAATGCCTACCTTTCATGAATGTATTATGATGTTTGTGACTAATCTTCTGTGGCCCTGAGCGAGAACATTAAATACAGGCTTTTTGTCTGTATGTATACTAATGAGTGTGTTAAACTTAAAGAAAACCCTCATCATATGATCAGGTTTCTCTGCTGACCCTATTAACGGACAGGGGTCAATTTCTGTATGGCTCTATGATATGTTTTACTTCTTTCATACATATATCTCTCAAGAAGTAAAGTAATTGTTATTTCTTCTCTCTGAGGATGGAAGGTTTTATCAGTATGTTGCAGGTCTCATGACACGGGGTGGCTGGTCTCATGACGCTTTTCGATGGGCCCTCCGAGGTCATTACTGGAGCTTCGTGACTTGGATGACAGCTATCTTGATTGATGTCAACGTACCCTTCTATCTATGTATAATTGTTTAGACTTTATGTCCTCTGAGCCAATCAGAAGTGAATGTTTATGTAATGTATGCCCTTGAAAACAGTATAACTGGTGTACGATTTTCATGTAAGGTAGAGTTAGCTTGCAACCTCCTCGTGAGACTTTGACGCTGGCTCTACCAATTGAACTGCAAACTATTCTTCAGTAAATTTTACTCTTTGATTGAACCTCACGACTCCTGGTCTTCTTTCATCATATCTGGTCCTGGGTCTCATAACTGTTACCCCCCTAACACCAGCATCAGTTGCGTCACTTTACTGTCATTCATAGATCCTCTCCTGCTGTGGAGAGGATCGCAAAGTGTCGTACGCACACTTCAGAATCTCGCCAGAAGAAGTAGGTCATCTGAGTACTTTTTGCCTACTCTTAGGAGTACTGTGAATTCGGACATATTTGCCACATACATTTCTTTGCCTATATAGTGGAAGTATGCGATTTCGTATGCAGCCAGAGTTTGACCCTCATAGGATGAACGTTTATTGTTTCACTTAGATATAAATGTCTTCATCATTTTTGAATATGCCAGTTTATACAGGAGCATTTGAGCAAGGTCTCTTTCACAGTAAATTTGTACACACATTTATAAAAAAGAAAAATCACACTCTCAAATAGTTCAAATATGAAATACATCATATGACAAAATTTATGCAGGGCAAATCCCCTATTCATAATCATACTATATGCTTTATGGCTTAACAGATATTTACATGAAATTACATAAAATAAATTCTTAAAATTATGATATTTATTAATTTAGCCTTTTTTATTTATTTTTATTTTTAGAAATGAACATCATATTTATAACATTAATTATAATTTATACAAAAAATAGTAGGATAGACCATTTCTCAGATTCTCATAAATCCAAAACAGGTGTACAAAATAGAAGGTTTGATTTATAGATAAATCTATTTATCTCCACACCGCACTGTGTGAATGAGAGACATTGCAAAACAGGCATTGCAAAACACAACATGACGTTTTTTCACTGTCTACATAAACTCCAACTCTTCTGGGTATAATCTGGCTGACAATTAGGGTTTATTCACTGCCCCTTACAGCATTTGTCATCTTTTACTGAAAGAGATATGTTCTCAAAACATTTAGAAAATAATGCCTGCCAGAGAGAACCATTCTTCTCCTTTGGGTAATATCTAACTGTAAGTCCACGTTCCCATCCTGGTTCAACTCCTATGTCAACCTCCCAGTACATCTGGTTGTATGTTCTCCACAAATTTTTCCTTATAACCTTTGTGAAACTTTTGGAATTTGGCAAAGCAATCTTCCCCTTGAGACTGCCGATGGCTATCTTTTCTGATAGCCAGTTTCTGATAGGTCTAAGAAAAAAAAAAAGATTACAAGAAGCAAACATTCTCCAAACAAATGAAACTAATAAATATGGTGACCTAGACATATGGTTGTGTTTAATAAGAGAAACAAAAATGTAACTGTGTTAAATAATTTTTCATAAAACATTACCATGAGAGATGTTCATTAGAGCTCAACTCAAGTTTAACAGGGCCTAGCATGTCTCTCCAAACAATTAGTGGCAGGCCAGTTTCATAAGGGCCAAGAGTGAAGTGGTCAGAAATCACTTTAGCGCCATCAAGCCTTGATTTATATCTGTAAAAAATAATAGTTTTAAATTCATCTACTGCATATAAGTCACATTGGTTGGTTAAGAATAAAGAATAAATGTTTAACGGTTCGGCTGGATGGATGTTTAACAGTTAACCCATAATGTTCCCTCCAAAAGTAATTTCAGTCATGTGCCATATACTCTTTCATTCCTCCCACCAGGGTCAATAAGTGCTCACATTATGTTGCGTCTCATTTCTTAAATTGTGCATCCTTGATTTCTTTCCTTGCTTTCTTTCCTTGTTTTCTTTCCTCACGTCTTAGCAACTTACTCCCAACCCAAGGAAACACTTAAGTGTCACTTAAAAGTTTTATCAGCTGCGCTCAAGGGATCTGGCCTTATGTTGTTTGAGTTTGGTTATCTAAGAAATTCATAATAAATAATAATAAAGCATGATGCCCTGTTTAAATATGTGAGCTGTATGGTTTAATTAAATTGCAAAATGTAAAACATAAATTAACATTATAGTGACAGATATGAAGGGGGAGGAGAATTAAACGTGTATCAAGTTTTTCGACAAGAAAGACTTCCGCACATACACCTGTGCATCCTCGCTCATATCTCCTCTGGAAGCTTCCTCCCTCCTCGTGGTGCAGATAATTTTTATTCTTCTTTTGAATTTAATGGCGTTTGGCAAATTAGCTTTGGTGCATTTCAGCCAATCAGTGAATTGAGATGTCTTTCAAGAAATCCCTCATAAGGAAAAATCCCTTTCTACGAATGCGTTGGTTGATAAAGATAGAACATACGGCTGCGCACATGGATTTTAAAACGGCAATCGCATTTTTATTTGTCATATTTCTTAGTATTGTAATTTCAGGGAAGAAAAACAATACATTGTATTCACACACTGTTTACATCTTGCGGGATGCGGGACAAACCTCCGTAGGAGGGGTTGTTCTCGTGACCTTGCACAACGTTCCCTAAAAGTTCTCTAAACGTTACAAAGAGGACATTTGGGACATTAACCGAACGTTCCCATGCGGTTAAGCTCCCAATTTCGGGACTGTCCTGCAAAATGCGGGACAGGTAGCCACCACACTTGCAGCCAGTTTCATTGGTTGAAGATAGGTTAGGGTAAGGTCTTGTTCTTGTCAATCAGCACTGTGATTGACATGACCAGAAACAGCAAGTGACTGATATTTGAACTGCCTCCTCTCAACCTCCTCAACATTTTGAATTCACAATGAGCTCACATTTTACTCACAATGGCCCTCATTTATCAAAAGTGCGTACACCAAATTTCCAGCGTACACCTGGCGTACACCCAAACCCACGGTGACTTTGAGATTTATCAATATGGACGTTGGTGTACGGAACGCTCAAATCCTACGCCAGCTCAGGAGGTGGTGTGCACGTTTTGTGTTAGTGCAGAAATGCGCAGAAAAACAATTCCTAACACCACAAAACGCACTGACAAACTAAAAGATATGATATATTATGACCAACAACAACAACATAGTAATTATAAACTTCAGTGTTTATTTTTGTGCAACATGGACTTCAATGTTTAATTTGTGTGACTTTACCAAAGCATTTGATTTTTAGCCATATGTATTCCTTCAGTTGCGAGCCTGTGCGCTTTACCCTGACGTTTCATGGTTAGGCCCGGCAGGTGCGCACGGACTGGGTTCGGTAATGAAAGGCTTTCAATGACCAAAAAATAATTCAGACTGACAAAATAATAAAAAATACATTCTTCTTCTTTTAAATAATAATAATAACAATACAAATAAATAATAATAACGACGTTCTTCTTCTAAATAACAACAAGCGTCATTAATAATAAAAATCATAATAATAAGAAGAATATTACAAATTGTCATGCACTTATTAATGTGAATGAATGGTACTCCACATCACATCATCATCGTCACTATTGTACACCCCAATACATGTGACGCGATTCGAAATTGAATGCTAATTGTTTCAAAAGACGTGCCGTAAAATATTGCATTGTGATAGGACATTTCGGCTCCACGTCAGAGAAGTTTCTCTTCTATGCCGTCTTCCGTGTGTACATGGCGTAAAATGAGGGCGTGGGGGAAGCAGAGACTTGAATATATAGGGGCGTGCTATTCTAATGACGATCGTTTTCAGCCGCGGGATTTATCAAGGGCAGGTATTGCGTACACCTGGATTTCAAAGGTACGCACAGCTTCATAAATCAGGCGGTGAGAGGAGTGTAAGCATAATCTAACGCCAACATATACGCCCGTTTCTACGCAAGAATGTTAAATGAGGGCCAATGTGAGTATCACAATGTGAGGATGGTGTGATGTCACTGTGATCATCGCATGATGTCACACGTTGACTGGGTAGTCACGTTTTCATTGCAGTTTTAGTCATTTAATCCAGGGTTCTCAAGTCTCACGCATTGGCCGTGAGACACACGCAATTCAACCAGTTCACACGCTCACACGCCACACCGTGTATTTCTCACGCTGAAAAGGCAATGCCAACCAAGTTGTCCTGCAAGCTTTATATATAACGTTGTATACGAGGCGCATGCACACAAAGATAAGTTTCCTGTCGCCAGCGCGTCCGCATCTCGGCCAGATTGCGTTCGTTACTAGGCAACTTATAGACGCGCGAAGTCCGCGAACACACACGGAAGTTCGGCCACCGCGACATCGCGCGAACACACGTCGTGATGGAGAAAGTAAGTTGGAAGAAAGCTCGCCTAACATTTTTAGACTAGAACATTTAATATATAGCCCATCGTATACATTATTGATGCAGTCAAAAACTCTACAACTGCTTTGCAACCAGGCCAAAAGCTTTGGCTCAGTTTGGCTAAGGGAATGTTATTGGGTATGGGAAGGAATGAAGATGTATTTCTTCAGTTTATTTTAAATTCTATGTTATACTGTATTAATAGTATTTCTAGTTACATTAAGGCTAAAGCAGAGTGCTCTTGGTAATATTGTATATCCTGTCAAAACATACATTAGCCTAATCATTGCCATTGCATTTGTATTTTTCAAAGATGTCAGGGAAAAATGCAAAAATATTTGTTTTTCCAAACATTTTGGAGCAATTTGTTATATATTTGTAGCCTAATTTTGAAATATAACATTAAAGAGTAGGCCTATATTTGATGTGATGAATTGCTCTGTCATTTATCAGATTTACCAACTGTTATAATTTCAATTTTTGCTGGTTAATTATGAACAATGGGTAAAATTGGGGGCGGGGCTCCATTTAGGCCCCTCCCCTAACCGCATGTGATCTCACTCCAAGCTTTTGATAAAACTTGAGAACCCTGTAATCACTTAATTTTACACACCTTTTGTTCTGACCCGCAGATCAATTTTGAGCCTCGGCTAAGCATGTTGGTCAAATAAAGTTTAAAAAAGAACAAAAATGTTTGCAAAAATGCATTTTACATCTTACTTGGTTACAGGGCCGGCCCGTTGCATAGGCGGTATAGGCAAATGCTAAGGGCGCCACCACTCAATAGGGGCGCCAAAATGAGTGAACGAGTTAATTTTTTTTTTTTTTTACTAATACTATTTTAAAACCATTAATTCGAAATACTACAAAATAAAGCAAAACAACTCCACAAAAACTTAACTAAGTCCCCCGACTCCGGTCCGGCGCGTCAATCTTCCCCCGCCCAGCGAGTGCTTGTAAGTGCTCCAGAAACAGAGCGCGCGCGATCAGTTTACTGTTGGTCATTTGTTGTGTAGCGTCGCCCCTCGCCGCATCCAATGTAGACAGCATTGCTTTCGTTTGAGGGCGCTTAACACACTCAAGCACTAGAAACGGGCCTGGCAGCTCGCGCCAGGTCTAGACACGGTGAAAGTTACCTCATTGTGACGGATGGCCGAATTTTCATGACACATTTATATTAGCATTATAGCCTGCGATAGATACAGTGCCAAAGAGAAGAGGCTACAAGGGGATAAAGACAGAGGTAAAGTGATGTAATGAATGAACAGTTTATCTAATTGCATAGTAGTAAGATACTATAATTTAATGGCAGTTATTTTTACCTTATAACTTTATGCTAACAGTAGTTCTGAGTTCTTCAGAGCCCCCAGACAATGCGATTTGTAACAATCATGTCAGTGTTTTTTAGACGCATTTACTATCACTTTTATTAATTAATGTTTTACTATACAGTTGTGCAGTTTTGAGGTGAATATATGGCATTTTTTAACATTTATTTGCCAAAATTATTAACGATATAGGCTACAGGTTTATTATGTTTTATGTAAAATGCACATTAAAGAAGACATTTCACAGTTTCATTCATGTTGAAAACATGAACTGTGCCATAATTTAGTGGAAGATTGCTGCCATCAACTCCCAAACAAACACTTTTGCTAGTGCTCAGTGAATAGTTTGTGCATGAATGACATTTGGACGATGACATCACTGTTTTATCCAGAGCAAGCTATATATAAATTAGATAAATTAATATTTTTTTACAACAAAATAAACCATCACTGAACATACTTAAGCTTGATTATGACACTATTTTCTTCTAGATCTGCTGTACAGGAGAAGCAAACTTTGTTGCATTATTTTCCTGTTATCACTGTAAAGCTGCCTTGAAATAATCTGTATTGTAGGCTAAAAAGCGCTATATAAAAATAAAGGGGACTTGACTTGAATGCTAGATGTAATGCTCTTGCTATTTATATATATATATATATGACTAAATAATCACCAACACAATGATGGGGTGAAATGGGCTGTAATGCATGGAGCGCCAGCCGGCAGGTAAAATCTTGCCTAGGGCAGCAAATTGGTCAGGGCCGGCCCTGCTTGGTTAGGAAGGCAGACTTGATAAGTCTGTGTTCTCACTGAGTGTGATTTCATCGACAAAAGGGAAACCTTCACTCCACCACTGAAATTTCATTTCATAAAATCCAAAATTAAATGAAATGATGGTAGGAATAACAGCATAGAAGATGTGAATTATTACGTTATATATTATATTATACTATATTATGTGTGTGGATTACCAAAACCTCTCAGGTTGGCATATTGTTAGTCCTGACTCCAACACGGACACCTGATTATTTCCATTAATTTGCAACTTTGCCAACAATGATGCATTTTGCTTCATTGATTCCTCAGCACTGTGTGCTGCTTTCTTGAGCTGTCTCAATATTTCTTCCTCCTTTTCCCTCAAGAAGTCATGCTTTTTGTTAAACTGAGCATGCATCTTTTCCTTGAGACATTTGGCTCTTTCCTGTGGATTTACATTATATGAATAGTAGAAGAAATGTGATAGACAGACAAAGTCTAAGAGAGTGGCAGACTGAAAAACATGTCAAATAAAAACATAATCGTTTCTTTTAATAACCTACCTTAGATTTTGTGATTTCAAGCATCTGGTTCAAGATCATGTCACCAATTTGTTTATTGGCATCCAAAATAAATCTCATTGCCTCTCTCACCACAATCTAAATTAACAATAGCATCAACAAAAACACATTATTATACAAAAAGTTGTCATTACAGTTTCTTCCTGTCACATTTTTAAATTTGTTTATTCATACATTGTACATATACAACCTCACTGATCTCCATAGCTTCTTTTACAGGCTTGAAACTGTGTCCACTGTGTTTCTCTCCCTCCTTGAACCAATCTCTGGTCGTTCTCACAGAAAAGTTTGAGTTGCTCTTCATGGTCAGGCCACAACAGTTCTTGTGCCTTCCTTGGAGTCTGTTGTTTTGTCTTGCGCTGTTGTATGACGTCCACAACGTTTCTCAGAACTCGGTTACCTTTAACATCCTGTCTGGTGAAGGTTTGTCTGCATTCTGGGCATTTGTGAGCACCTTCACTTGATTCCAAATAACTTGTAATACACTTTCGGCAGAGAGCAGGCTCACAGGGCAAACTTACTGGATCTCGGAAGTCACTCAAACACACTGGACACATGAGGTGGAGAGACAGCATTGAAGCCATGAAATCTCTTTTTAGAATCCTCTGATGTTCAGTGAAAAACAGAAAGCGTTCCATTTTGAAGTAACACTACACTTTCCTGATGGAACAATGAAGCTGTAGAGTTTGTTCAGTCTTTTATTGGGATTTGGGATTGGGATTAGGATTTATTAGGTTAATGTTAATATATATACAATATAAATATACAAGTAAAAAGTTTAAATTTACAAACTTTCCTTATGAAAAAGTGGAGAACTTTGAGTAACGAATGTTAAAAATGGATTGTGGAGTTTTTACAACCATGAAGGGATAGTTCCCCCAAAAATATCTTCTTTTGTGTTCAGCAGAAGAAAGAAATTCAGGTTTAAAACAACGAGTGTGAGTAAATGATGACAGAAAACTCTGCCTATCGTTTATCTCTAAATACATTGGGTTATTTTTGTGGGGTGCAAAATGTTTTAAACCATTTGTTCAGCTGTTATGTAAATATTACATGCTTGGAAAAAGTTTATGGACAGAATTAACAATGGGCATGTCTTTAAGCTTAATACAAGCATTGGCCGAAAAGTATTTGTGCTAATACAATACAATCTCAGTCTCTATTCTATATAGAAATAGGTACAGTATATGGTCTGGCATTCCAGTTTGACTACTTTTCATGTTATACAACCTGTGGGGGGAGGAACAATACTAGTTACGCAAGCCAAATTTAAATGTATTTGAAACCGAAAGTGTTCACTTGGTAGAAGAACAAACACATCTAACAAAATAACATCATCGTCTTTGGAAGAAAGAATACGTTTATTCCACCAAAACAGTACTTATTGCTTAGCAAGATCTCGACCAGAAGGAAGCTAAAATGTATTCTCCTTTGTCTTTTCAGATCAAGTGCTCCGTGTGTTTGAGTGATTTTACGGATCCAGTGACTCTCTCTTGTGAGCACTCGTTTTGTCGGGAATGCATCACGGGCCACATGCAGGCCAGCCTGGGACCAAACGCCTGCCCAGAATGCCAAAGGCCTTATAACGCAGAAGACCTGAAATCCAGCCGTTTACTGAGGAACATGACCTCGACAGTGAGAGAGCACCTTGCCGAGCAGAAATCGGACAGATACTCATCTAAAGAAGGAACACAAACCTTAAATTCTCCAGAAATGGAAAGGACGCTGATGTGTTCTGAACACGATGAGAAGCTTAAGCTATTCTGTGAGACTGATCAGAAGCTGGTGTGTGTCATCTGCAGGGATGGAGACAAACATAAAGGCCACGTCTTTAAACCCGTGAAAGAAGCTGCGCAGATCAACAAGGTAAACCTCGGGTCATTTACATAAGAGCCACGTCTGACTTCCTGATAAAAGCACTGCAGATTTAAAACTCCTTTCTTGCTTTCAACCTATATGCATTTGTGTAATGTTATTCATAGCATAATTAGGTTTCTAAAATTGAACCCCAGGCTTGTTTAATTAAAGATATCCAGAGAGCCTTCTCTGCTTTCTGTCAGTGCGTTTTAAATCGTGTCCGAGGTGTCTTTTTCTGTAGGGGGAGCTGAAGACTGCTTTGGGTTTTCTTGCCAAAGAAAATGGACAGTTGGATTACATGATACAACAACAGACAACTGAGATCACCAAAACGGAGGTATCAAAGCATGTAAACAAAGAGAAAAATAATGAATGAATTATCTGCACAGGTACCAGAGGCTCCACATTTCATGCCTGTACTCATCTTTTTGGCCTATCTATAAATTTATTCAGAAATACATTAAAAAGACAGTTCATACAATGACTTGAATATGCCTCTTCCATGAGCAAGTTTATAATTAAAATTATTTTTGATGTTTTTTTTGGCTAACATAAAGTCAAATATTTGAGGGTGATGCAACTGTCCTGATATTATAATGAAAATGAAATTAATACATTACATATTTATTATATTATGTTTATTTTATGTTTATTATGTTTATGTTTTTGTCAAGAATGTCACTCCCGAAAACTAACTCGGTTAATAATTCATGACATAAAAATAAATAAATAATACTGATAGTCATTCTCCTTGTTACATACCGAATCAACCAAATACATTAGGTTACACACACATAAATAGCTCCTGAAGGTAAGAATGGAAACAACAATTCACTAATTTACAAAGTCAGTCAGTCTCTCTCTCTCTCTCTCTCTCTAGGATAAATCCCAAACCTTATCAGCCCAGATCTCTGCTCAGTTTGAAGAAATGCACCAGTTCTTACGACAAAAAGAGGACGAGGTGAAGAAACAGTTGAAGGAGGAGGAAAAGAAAGTTGTAGAAGTCATGCAGAGGAATCAGTCTTTTATAAACAAAAGATTTATGGAGAATAAAGAAAAGGAGATTATTCTGCAGTCAGCACTGGAGATTGATCAATCCGATCACTTTCTACAGGTTACAACACATTAGATTACATATTTCTATTTTTAAAGGGCGAAGTTGTGCACAAGAGCACACATGTGATAATCTATAGTTTTCAATTAAAGTTAGGTTTTATACTGTAAAACATAAATAAAGCACAAAAGTACTTTTTGATTCTGTTTTTGTCTACAGTGGTGGAATGAAAAAGGATTTCCAATGACAAAAAACATGAAGCAAAAGGCCGCTGTCACTCCAACAAATAAGTAAATTAAAACGCAATGCTGTTAATTAGACCTAAATCACATCAGTCAGTGTTAACATTTCTGTAAAATTGAAGTTTCTGATGCTGAATTGACTTTCTATTTCAGGTATATGTCAAGGGTGAAAGATCTTACTGTTCTTCCTGATTCTCTCTTTCTTGGCCCCCATGAAACTCACCTGCAGTTCTTTGTGTGGAAGGAGATGCTGCAATCTATCAAAGCAGGTGAAGAATATGACAAACGTGCATGATGTTGAAAGTTCAGCTAAAGTGAAACTAGATCTGCATTCCTTGAAGGAAATGCCAGCGCTTGCAAAGCAGCAACAGTTTTACATGGAGTTAGATTTCAGACTTGGTTGTCATGATTCTCTGTATTTGCCTTGTTTTCTGTCAGCTGTGTGTCAGAATCAACATCAAAACTTTATATATTAGGTCAGTGACATGATGCTTTTTGGCCAGATCTATTATTCAAAAAATATATAATAATAAATAAATATTTAGTGTAATGAAATGTCAGATGGAAAACTTCCTCATAATTCATAATTCAAACAATTCATGAATAAATAAAAAATGTACTTGAAAAAAAAAGTTTTAGAATTTAATTATTAAGCTATGTTCTCTAACATGGGTTCAGCGTGCGAGGAAAGTATTTATGTTTAGTGGTTACACCTCTATTAGACATTTTATTGTTGTTAAACTATAGAAATATGATATAATATAAAGATTACATTTCTTAGAACTTGGCACATAGGGTTTAATCTTTTTCTTGGACATCATTATTTAGAGACATTTGCAGTGTAAAGGCAGCAGCTACATATGATTAAATAGATGTAAATCAACAGGACATTTTCAAACTTTAACCTTTATTTTCTTAAAAACATAAACCAAAGTTACGTTGAAATAATCAAAAACAAAAACACAAAAAAACAGGTAAAGTTTGAATGAGGGAATCTGTACATTTAGTGGTTTGGGGAATTAATTGCAAAAGTTTCATTTATGATTATAGGTTTAGAACGAAACATAACCAGAATGTTTAATGCAAGATCTACAATAACTTCTCATTCGACAACTGATTCATCATTTAATAATGTTTCTGCCTGTGTCTGTGCTGTAGTTCCTGAGAGTTTAACCCTGAAAAACCCTGGAGAGTCATACTTAAAAGTGTCTCCAGGGGGGACCAGAATCCGACAAGCTGACAGAATTTCTGGTCTGTATAAAGACTTCAACCCAGGTACAGTTTCAGTGGAAAACTTCCAAACTGGCCAGCACTACTGGGAAGTAGAGGTGGATAAAAAGCCAGACTGGACTGTGGGAATCAAGATGGGTGCAGAAAAACCGACAACAAAGTCAGGCGAGAGTGAGATCCTGCTCCACCTTAAACACAATAAAGGATACGTTCTGTCCTGTGATGGAAAGGACACTCCATTAAGTTCTCGAGACAAACCACAGAAAATAGGGTTGTATCTGGACTGTGAGAGAAAGCAGGTGTCCTTCTATAACGCTGACAACATGTCTCGGTTGATCCAGATAAACTACAGCTCAAAACAGCCTTGCTGTCTCAGTGTGGTGCCAGGACTTTATCTGGATGGAATGAATAGTGACCCTCTCACTGTCTGCTCATATGAGTTTAACTCTGGCAGACAGTAGGCTAACATGCAGTTACTATCTGCACATTTTTCTAGACAGGATATTGTTAAACAACTGTGATATCAGACCGATTGATATCTGGGTCATCAAAGATGAGATTAAAGCTGCAGTAGGGAGTTTTGAGAAAACGTTGACTTAGCCTGAAAATTTGAACAAGCACAACTTACAGGTCCCACCCCCTTGCTCTCTGCTGCACTACAGCCCTCCCTCCACAGCTCGTCCTCCACAGCGGAGCCTGTCGTGAACGCGCAGGCTAGTAAACAGGGCCACCGATAACAGCGGATAAAAAGTTATATGACATTCACTAATAAGGACTAAACGTCAATAATATGCTTTACTTTGACTATGGCCTGCCCATACTTTGACTACAAACTTGGTCCTCAAATCATTATGTATTTTGCAATAGCCTACATGTAACTTTATAACGTTGCACTCTTTCTATAAGTTATAAATAGCTAGTAAGATAACGTTAATATAACGGTTACTAACGTTACAGTATGTAAGTAATTATTCTAGCGATATATAATGCTAGATAAGGTGTGCTAGTACATTATTTCAGCAACATGACAAGCCAGTGAATTAGCAGGTTTCAATTGTTGCTTAAGTTAGCAGAGTGCGTGACATTTTATCTACATGCTATGCGGCTAGAGTTTTGACACCGAGTCAATGGGCTCTCTGTATAATTCTTTCTTTTTCGCTTGTTTATCGTCATCAGTCTTTTTCCTTTTACCTCTTTGTTTGATGAGCAGGTGTCACTCGAGAATTGGCAGTTTAGGTTGTTTCTCCTTCATAAGATAAGCTTATGTGGCACCTCTTCTGCAGCACGCCGGCAATCTTGAGTTTGAACGACGGCTCGCGCTGTGCAAGAGAGGGGTGTGATCAGCGCGTACACGAGCGTGATTGACACTGCTAAGACAGTCCACCTGGCTCTGATTGGTTGTTTCTGACCGGGAGCGTGTATTTCTTGCAAATGGCAATAGGACCACTGGGAGGAGCCAGAGGAGCTTGATTTTTACACAGATTATCTGTCTCATATTCTACTGTCAGGACATAATGACAGTTTTAGCAAATACACTTTTTCAAAAGTTACCTACAGCAGCTTTAAAATAAAAATGTTTTTCTTTCCAACCGTTTCTGTAAAATGAAACATCATGATGGCATGAACTAAAATTTAAATGTACTGTAGCTTCTTGAAGTTTGTGCGATTCACTCACTGCAATAATGACAACATGGACAGGTGAGAAATATTCATTACTGGTAATTCTTCAAATTAATTTAATGATTGCATGAAGTTTCAACTGAGTTTCAATGTGAGAAGTGGGCAAATAACAATTATGTTTCTTCCTTTTTAATGTATTTTTGTTTAAATTTTCAGTTTAAGATGGTTTGTTTCAGCTTATCCAAAGTTATCTAGTCAATAGATATTGTTTTTATATAATAGAGTTGTTTTCTGTTTTTTTATTTTATTTATATTGTTGCTTGATAAACATTCATACCCTTAATTTTCTCTAATGCCTTAAATACCTCCCAATGCTTTTATATTTGAGTTAAATAAACTCAAATCATTTTTCAGCACATATTTGAAGACCAAAAAAGATGTTTGCATGTTGTGGGTGGGGAAGATAATCATATATTTTCTTATTTAGGGTTAGCAGGAAACATACAGATTTTATTTTGCCTTGAAATGATCAGTGAACAAATAATAATAATAAGAAAAATATATTAAAAAAACATCTGTACATATGTCATGATAATTAACAGACTCATGTCATCATTTAAAATTGACTTTTGAAACATTTAAAAAGCCTTCTGTAAAAAGTTTCAAGATTAGAGGAAATAAAGTTAGAAAGGTGAAATCACCGTATTTATATTAATATTTCTGTGTGTGGAAATAACCATTCATGTTTATTAAGGTAACATGTTTTTGTTTACATCATTTTTATATGGAGCACTGGAAAATGGTAATATTCACAAACATGAAGATAAATCTTGCCTATTATTTGTATAGTGTGTTTTATTCTAATACTGTAGGCATCTCTATTTCCTCTGGGTGGTGTGAGTCCTTCCTCCCTACAAAATAATTAATTACAATTTACTGACCGCAAGTTTTTACCATGATCACAGAATTACAGATCAATGTGAATCATCAGATTCTGTGTCGCTCCAAACTCACCAGCTCTTCTTGCACAGATGATCTGAAGAAGAATCACAGTTGGAGCAGCAAACGCTGAAATCTTAAATATATTTATAATCTCTGCAGAAAAGATGTGCGGAGAGGGACAGATGATAGAAAGAATAGAGAAAAAGAAGAGAATGAATATGTGAAACTAAATGACTTTGTAGATACAAATCAAGGATACAAAACAATGAACAATTATTTACAAACCATTTACAAATTCACTGACATTTCAATGGTATAAAGTTATCAGCATGAAAAAAACAAACATGTAAAGACTTTTACCTCTGAATATTGATCCAGAAGCCATACAGACTTCATTATGTGTTGTTGTGTTAGCTGGATCTGTGGATCATGTCTGTTAGTTCAGTTCAAACATAATGTAAACACTGGAATGTAGAATATCTATGTATTGACAGCATCTAAAATGTAAAACATTTTACATGCTTTCCCGTAGCTCAAACAGTAGAGTGTTGGTGCTTGCAACGCCAGGGTCATGAGTTTGATTCCCAGGGAAAGCAAGAACTGATAAGAAGGTAAGCGTGTACCTTTAAATGCAATTTAAGTCGCTTTGGATAAAAGTGTTTGCCAAATGCATAAAAAAATAAAATAAAAATCAAACAACCTTTTATGTATGAAGACGTTTCAGATGTACAAAAATAGGCTAATACAAATCCTTTGCCCTGAGGTGAGAGACTGATGATGTGTGTCAGTTGTGTCGAAGCTGCTGCTGTAGTTCTGCTTGATTTCTTCTCAGAGTTTGAGCTGCTGACTGGAGTCGGTGTTAGTCTAGGTCCTGGGTAAGATTTGTATGCACTTCATTTAGCGGAGAATATCTCAACTATTATAGACTAATATGACCCCATTGAACAACGTGGGATGTGTGCCAAAATCTCTACCCGGGACGAAAGTCCTGAAAATGACCACAACAGGGGACGCTATTATCACACTACAGGTGAATAGGACTTTTTCTTCCCTTTATAGATATTCTCATACATTTCTATCAGATTAATAATCTTCATATTAAGAGAAATACTTTTTGTAATACACTTTGTCTTAAAAATAAAATAAAATATGCAAATTAGGCAATATCTATAAATATGCGTACATATAGCCTAAACTCTTGAAGCTACAGATTTTCTGAGGGGATCACAATCTTTACAATGACCATGTAGTGTAAGTGTAAAAATTCTGGTTTGATATTTTTTAATTGTGTTTCTGTTGATGTTCAGTGTGGATGTCGTGGGGTGGGGGGATATCTTGTTTTGTGCTGTATTGAATGGAAAATTATAAATACAATTGTATACAAACATTGGACTTTTTTAAAAGAAAGAAAACAAGCCTTTGATTAATATACAGAAATGTTATATCCAACCTTGCTATTATCATTGGAACGTTAACTTAAAGTGAAAAATACAAAACAACAGGTTTATTCCCTGTTTTGCAATGTAAAACTTTCACAACAGAGTCCAGGTACGGGATGATGATGAGAGCTCATTCAGTGATAGAATTTTTACAACTATTGCCTCCCTTGCATTTGCAGTACTTGCAACAACGGATACCAGCTACCCGACAGGGACACCCATCCTTGTGTGCACACTTGCCACACAAGCAGGGATCTGGCAAACCTTCAGGTTTTGAGATTACAATCTCAGGGACTAATAAACTGCCCTTTCTTACAAAACCATAAGCATCTCCATTTAAGATCGAGATGGCGTCTGTAAATGGTGCTTGGACCTAAAGCTGCTGTTGATAATAGGCTCTTTGTATATGTTTTCTTGCATTAGTTGAGGTGCAAGCAGTCCTCTCAAAGTCCATCTTAAGGGCATTACTATCGAACGCAGCAATGCGCAGGTCGTCAAATGTCTCCATGTCCTTTGATGGTTTGAGACATTTGACCAAGAATGTTTCCGCCATTTGTATTGCACTTTCTGTTGGCTGTGGACAGTTGAAATTGAGAATCAGAGAAGAGTTGTCTGGTTTGCGGACAGTGTTCAGAGCTGCAAGTTTGGTTGATATTTTGCTGGTTGTATCGCACCCAGTCAGCGCATGTAGTGCTGGGAGACACTGTGAGCTCGTCTCCCAGCGCAAAGCAGATATCATGAAGTGGTAATATTGATCTTTTCACTCCTGAGTTGCGGATGAGCCAGAGCTCTTGGAGGCCAAGATTTCTCCAATTGACTGTTATGTGGTATAATAGGCACACAAAGACATTTGTGTCACCTGATGACAGTTTCAGTGATGTAGATCCTGTACGGTGACTTAAAATGTCCTGCACATGGAACATCATCCTGTCATAATATAATAATAATAATAATAATAATTCATTACATTTATATAGCGCTTTTCTAGGCACTCAAAGCGCTTAACATCGAAGGGGGAATCTCCTCAACCACCACCAATGTGCAGCATCCACTTGGATGATGCAACGGCAGCCATAGTGCGCCAGAACGCCCACCACACACCAGCTTACTGGTGGAGAGGAGACAGAGTGATGAAGCCAATCAGTGTATATATATGGGGATGATTAGGAGGCCATGATGGACAGAGGCCACTGGGCGAATTTGTCCAGGATGCCGGGGTTACACCCCTACTCTTTCGAAAGACATTCTGGGATTTTTAATGACCACAGAGAGTCAGGACCTCGGTTTAACGTCTCATCCGAAGGACGGTGCTCTTTGATAGTACAGTGTCCCCGTCACTATACTGGGGCGTTAGGACCCACACAGACCACAGGGTGAGCGCCCCCTGCTGGCCTCTCTAACACCTCTTCCAGCAGCAACCTGGTTTTCTCAGAAGGTCTCCCATCCAGGTACTAACCAGGCTCAGCCCTGCTTAGCTTCAGTGGGCAACCAGTCTTGGGCTGCAGGGTGATATGGCTGCTGGCATCAGCTTCCTCGTGTGTGCAGTTGAGCTGAAGGAATGGAGTAGCACTCGCAGCTGACACACAATCCATGCCTGTGGTGTTATACCAAGATATAGTGGTTTGGTGCCTTTGTAATTGTCGGTCAGCCACTCAACATAGAATGCCTGAAAAGCAGTTTTGCTAATGGAAGATGACCAAAAGTTCTCTAATACCACTGATACCACTTTTTTGATTTTCCTCTTCTCTCCCTCTCTCCATGTTTGATGCTGTCCTCTCTGTAAGTGTCGAAAACGATATGGATCTCATCACAGTTTCTTCCAGCTTTGTAGACCATAAATGTCAAAGCAATAGCAAAGTCATGGAATGTCTTGACGGGTGGATCAAGTTTCTTTAAGGAGACTTTTCTCACCAATGCCATGAAGTCGATAATGATGGCGTGTGTTTGCGGGGAGGGTATCTGGACCTTTTTTATCTATTTGTGGACACAACTTCTGCAGCTCAGTCCCAAGTTGTGATTTGGCACTCTTCCTCAAGTAACCATCTTTGTCAACCAAGAAGAATGCAGAGTTGGTGATCTCATGCTGGAGTAGCTCCTCAACTGTGAACCCCCGGTGACACTCATACTCAATAAACATGAGAGCTTTGATTGTCTCATCTTTGATGTTTGCTTTGGAAGCCAAATTCAAGGTGGTCTTTGGCAAAGTAAACTTGACTTTACTAATTTTTGAGTATATCGATATCGACTTATTTCTGAGTCGATCATCGATAAATTTAGCACAAGCAGCACTGCTTTCTGTGATACAGCACAACAACTTGTCTACATTTACGTTGGTCACAATTTCTCCAGTGAGAGTATTTAAATACACAAAATTACAACTCATATGATAATGACATATAATAAGTGTACACGCCAACGCAAAGAATAAAGAGTAGATTTCCTTATTTTCCTTGATCTCAAGTCATCTTGCTTGACTGCCATGTGCTCTGCTATGACCTCAGGTCATGGCTACCAAGTAAACTTTTGTCAAAAAAAAAGTGATGACAGGAATATTTGGAATAGGTAGGAAATGTAAGTTTTAAAATGTAGGTTAATAAATAACTGGCAATTCCTGTATGTTGGTAGTTGTTTGTAAAAGATTGACTGTTTTTTAGCCATTTTCTTTATATCAAATCAGAATGCTTACACTCTTCTATGACTTTATAATCATGGTCATTGTGAACATTGTGATCACCTCAGAAAATATGTAGCTTCAAGGGTTTATATGTATGCACATTTAATGAGATATTGCCTCATTTGCATATTTTAGACAAAGTTTAATACAAAAAGTATTTCTCTTAATATGAAGATTAATCTGGTAGAAATGTATGAGAATATCTATAAAGGGAAGAAAAAGTCCTATTCACCTATAGTGTGATAATAGCGTCCCCTGTTGTGGTCATTTTCAGGACTTTCGTCCCGGGTAGAGATTTTGGCACACATCCCATGTTGTTCAATGGGGTCATATTAGTCTATAACAGTTGAGATATTCTCCGCTAAATGAAGTGCATACAAATCTTACCCAGGACCTCTACTATAAAGAAGCATCTATAAATATATATTGTTTAAAGCAGTTTGGTTTGTTCTTAGCGAGGGGCCACTGAAACTCAAAACTGCAATTTTTAAAGGTTCACTGAAATAAATACAGCAACTAAGAAAAATAAAGAATATTGAAAAAATGGGCTAAAAATAACACATAAAGGTCATTTATTAGTTGTGTTTCTTCAAAAATTGATTGTAATTAGGGGCCAAGCACCGAAGGTGCAGAGGCCCCTATTGTATCTGTTCCGGTTCCTATTACTATTATTATTCATCCTTCTTCCGACTGGGCGTCTATGGCAGCCCATAGAACCGCTTACGGGAAAGTTGTGAAATTTGGCACACTGATAGAGGTCAGTCCAAACTGTCACCATAGCAAATTTGGCGTCGCAAAACCAATCCCACTAGCGCCACCACCTGTCCAAAGTTTCACTCATATTTATGTGAATAACTTTTGAACCGTAAACAAAATTCCTTTATTTTTTCCCTCTGATTCCTGAGCTCATGACGATTTGATTGCACTCCATGACATTTTCCGTCATAAAAATATGTCCGCCATTTTGAATTCTCAGACAAACCTTCTTTTTCAAACTCCTCCTAGGCCGATGCTCCGATTTTCAGGAAAATTTAACCAGATCATCTCCAGGCCATGCCGAGAAAAGTTTAAAAAACAAAAAAGTTCACGTTGATTTGTCAAACCGTTCTCAAATAGGCCTACTGCGCAAACTAATTTTACGTAGTGATTGTTTGGAACACTATTTATTTTGGTTTTGAGTGGTTGGTGAAACCAATTGTTTTTGTGTGCATATCTCAGAGCCTAGGCTGCCTACAGAGACACATTTTTTTTTTGGACGGCCTGCTTATGGGGTGGGCAGCTAGCGGATCGTTTGGAAAGATTAGATGAATGTGATAATTTATGTTTGGGCCTGAAATCGCTGATACAACCTTTAAAACACATCAGAACTACAAAAATGCACTTT